TCTCTCTCTCTCTCTCTCTCTCTCTCTCTCTCTCTCTCTCTCTCTCTCTCTCTCTCTCCCCCCCCCGTCGAACCGAGCACAGCAACCACCACGGCGACCACAAAGCGCTCGAAACCGTCGCATCGAAACATCACCGCACGAAGCAGCACACGACTGCAAAAGCCGGACCGGTGACAACCGTTAAGATTGTCGAGCGGCCCCGGACTGGATGGCCCGATAGAAGTTTCGGGAATCATCTGCCGCAGATCCCCGAAAGGTCTATCGGGCCGTCCAACCCCGGCCTCGCCAGTCCGGCCCGCCCCAAAGGCCTCATGCCGTGTCTGTCGGGCCCGCCTTAGAGAAAATATATTGTGGATATTCATCGTCTGAATGTCATTCCGTGGATCAAGGTCATCACTACAGAGAATACCATTCCTGAAAAAAACGACATCATTCGTAGGGGTGCCTAATTCTGGTATCCCTGAGGTCGGGAGCGAGGGGATAGGGTAAGGGATACCAACTGCCCATGGGGGTAAAGGAAACAATGAAAAAGTTCGAAAAAAATCAAGGGGGGAAGGGGGAAGGAAAAAAATCCACGACAATGTTACGCAAGTCCTCATCTGAAAATATGGCCTTTCTTCTGGCCAATGGGCTGAGGCAACCATCTCTTCCATAACTGTCACTGAGCAGCACACAAACAATATATGACGCAGAGACTTGACTGAACGTAACAGTGACACACCCGGCTGTATCCCCAGAGGCAGCTCCTCGTAATACGAGAGACTGGCCCCGACAGCCAAAGCAGGGAGGGTAGTGGCAATCCCTGAAGCGCTTTTCTGCCACTAGTCACTAATGCATGGCTTCATCAGAGGGTAACACCTGCCATTCGCAATGCATGCTTAGGAGGCCGAAGCTGGACAGGCGGAGGTTGTGTTTGCAAATGAAACAAGAAAGCCAAAAGGGCAAGAAAAGCCAGCAACGGGATGAATGCGAGCAACACAAACCCCCATTCTCTCATCCACCTGTTCACCTTGCAGCGCCATCGACCCTAGTGCCAGCAACTTGGCCCCTACCCAGCGAAGAAGATTGTACGGGATGAACGAGATGAATATGTACGGGATGAATGAGATGAATATGCATGCACTCATTCCCGGTTCGCAAGAGTGCGGCGTGCAGAGCTATGCGGTGTAGAGGCAAATCTTCTCAGTGGTGTGATAAGCGTACGCTAGCGCATATGAAGGAGAGCAAGCATAGGACTATATCACGTCCTCATCGTCGCCGATCAGTTGATCCACCAACTCCTGATCCACCTAATAGTCCATGGTATACTTCTGCAGTAGCCCGTCGTCGTCCTTGAAGACCTCCCTGCTCCCGCTGGCGAACCAGAGCATACGAAACTAGAGACAACGCTTGGTCCAGCAAGTGACCCTTGGCCAGACAAAGCACATGCGTAGCAATCGAAATGATGAGATCACCGAGGAGCTCCCTGTCCCTAAATAGTCATGGCAGTTCGTCATTATCTGTGCAATGAGGGATACTTGGCGTGGTCGTTGCATCCCTGAAAAGGACAATAGGCGCCAAGACGAAAAATACAAACACAAAAAAGAAAAAGATACGAAAAAGAACAAGAAAGTTGAAGAAACACAACCAAAAAAAGGGGAAGAGCGTCGATAAAAAGGCGAGGAAAAAAAGAGGAAAAAAAAACAAACAAAAAAAAAACAGGGGAGGGGAAGCCGATCAACTGCGATTCGAACCGGTGATCTAGTCGTCAGAAAAAAACACCGACCCTCCTTCCTGAATGGCTATTGCACTTGGGGAGAGGCACATCGGAATTGGGTCCGCTGCGCTGTCCTTTGTGCCACTTTATTGCTGCCCCGCAATGTGATACGAGGTGCCGTAGAGGGTGCGTGCACAAGGTGCTATCGCCAGAGGTTGTCTATGTCTTTCGCGGTGATCACGTGCTGTATCCTTCGAGGGTTATCAGCCCACAAATGTTATTAAAAAAAAAAATAAAAAAATCTTAACGTTGGGCGTGTGTCCAATGACTGCCCTCCCCATTGGTTCCAGCCCAGCGTCGGGTGCACGAGTTGCACATCCCTGAGCTGCCGGGCTCGTAAGCCTTAGCGTTTTATTTTCTCAAGAGACAATCCGCAGCCCATAAGCTTTGTAGAGATTGGGATATGTGCCTCTAAAAAGGCTGAGAAGTTAGTTAACTGTACACACGAAGCTTCTGCTCAGAGAAGATTACTCCAACAACAAACAAAAAAACCCGAAAGAATGACAAAACCCCATTCCCCTGCTATATGCAAAGTCTTGCCTCCCCTTATTCTCCCTCTTTTCTCTCCTTTTTCTTTTTTATTCATTATATAAGCTGCAGGCCTTACCCATTGCTGTGCACCTTCTTCTCTTCGGTCATGCAGCACACTTGAGAGGGGCCTACCCCACAATGAGACAGTTAGCAATATGAAACACAATAGATGGATATGTGTGTGTGTGTGTGTGTGTGTGTGTGTGTGTGTTGTTAAAGCACCCCAAATTCTCTCTCTCATTTCCTCCCCAAATCATAACAAACCATCCATAACAAAAAAGTATAGATAGACAATATAATAGAAAATGCAAGGTTGGAGCAGTGCCTTACGAAGCGATCGATCCGTTCGGTAGCGCAACACAGCGCTAATTCGTGCTAGCGTCCCGTACCCCCGCATCGGCCCGCCAGGCCCTCCGCCCACAGGGTTCCCCCCTCCACCGCCGAAACCCGCCAGCCTGCTCCTGAGTGCGAACGCGCCCAGCGCGTTCGAATTTCGAACGTGGGCGGTTCAGCTTAGCCGCCATCGTCGCCGCCCGCAAGCCAGCTCGTGCGTCGAGCGCGAGCACCATCACCAGCACCGTCATCAGGGAATCGTCACACGCGGCTCAGCCGCCTTCGCCACCGGAGACGTCCACCAAGACAATCAACATCTTGTGCCTCAAGCGCAAGCACCATCACCACGCAGAAGAACTCCTCAAGACGACGTCTGAAGCCGACTACCAAGACAACGCCAGCTCCGGAAACGAGAGAGGGCAGCAGCCCACGAGAGAACAGCTGTGACATTCGCCGCCAGCCAGGAACGACCTTTTCGAAGTGAAGTTCCCTCCTTTTCCCTCTAACCTCTCCCCTCCCTCCTCCTCATAAACGCACTTTAACGCACCCCGCACACCACCACCCCCCTCCTCCCCTCCCCCAAATCACCATAGCGTCCCCTCCAAAAAAGCTACCCCAAGCCCCCACCGCATGTAACTGATACCCCCCCCCCCCCCCCCCCCGACCCCCAAGCTCTTCCCCCCCCCCATACTACCGCAAGCCCCCACCCGCAACACCCCCGCTCAAAGCGGTTCGAGTGGCAACCTCGAAGCGCGCGGAACAAGAAAAAGAGATGCAATAAATTAAAAAAACGAAACGGTGGCCATGTTTGCTCCTCCCACCTTCTCCCTCTCACTCCTGAATGGGATATAGCCCTCTTACTAACTCTCCCCCCTCCTCCCTCTCACCTCCAAGTCAAACTCCTACCTCCTCACCCGCTGAACTTCGACCCCTACCCCCCCCGCTCCCCCAGCTCTCCTTGGCAACCCCATCGCTCCCCCCCCTGCCACTCCGACCACACTGCGATGCCAAGGCCTATCCTTCCACACGACCTTCTGACACTGCGCTGCCGCCTAGTCCTCTCCAACCTCTAACACTTCTCCCCTCCCCCCTTCCTTGCAGTGCAGCAGCTTCCCTCCTAGCTCCCTCGTAACCACGAAACCTCAGCGCAATTGTCAACAGACAGCCGAACACACAGCCGAACCACCCCCTCCAC